CCTTTTGAGTATAGTGAAAAGGAATGGAATTTAGGATTCACAAATGTACATATATCTGATATTCTATAAAGTAAATGCCATATCTGTAGTATGTCTGAGAAAATTGCATAACAAAGTTAATTTTAGTGCCTGAAGCTGTCTCAGAATTGTCCCTTCTTTCCAGGAGACTGAGAAATGAGTTGGTCATGATAGAAATCTTTGAATTTGTTTGTAAGGCCAAAGTGCCATTCTGCCTGCCTTTCCTTTAACTCTTTAAGCAGATCTTTATAGCCAGGTGTGATTGTAGCTCCAGAGATACAATAATGAATAAGCCAAGAAGGTCCCTTCTTTCTAGAAGTTTACATTCTAATCCAAAATAAACAAACTGATTAATTTCAGCCAAAATAATGAAACAACATGGTGAGAGACAGAGGCGTAGGAGAATCCCTGCAGAACTCAGTGGCTGGGGGGCCTGTCCATGGGCTCTGAAGTGAGTGGACGGAATTCCCTCATTTTATTTGCTGGTACCAGATTGTTGAGTAATTCTCTTGCTTCAGTAAAATACTTAATTCATTGGAAGTCTTTATTGTTTGTATTATGTATTCCTTTTCTGATAAATTTTAAGATTCCTTGCATACATATGTGATCACAAAAGGTAGTCTTAGATAATTTACTTTTGGTGAAATGATATATGACAATTGCAAATATGATTAAATTGAGAAATTACATGCAATCTTTTTAGGAACACAGCTGTTACAGAAAATGAGATAGGTATCTGTATTTCCTTTAGAGCCCACACTGCTGTAATGTTTTTTGCAAAGCACGTAATTGCAATTCAGTGGAATGCTTTTGTGAAAATTGAGAAGTTGAATAATCTTCTCAGAGCATCTTCAGGGTTTGTCAAATAGCATTTTCTGTTTAGCAAAATAAAACATCCCCTGTTGTGATAGAACCAGTGCAAACCTTTCAGCATTATAATGGGCCTATACACTGTAAGCCCTTGATGGAAATCGTCCTGTGATGTCTGGATATTTTCAAACAAAACAAGAAAATCCCCCGGTAGCAATTGTTAATCTTATTTGTGATTAAAATGCTTTTAAAAATTATCATACTTTAGTACGTATATTTCTTGGCACTAACAAGTTTGTGGCTGGTAGTGAATGTTAATGTCCGTACTTCTTGTATGTCTATTTTTTAGCTATAAATTGATGCAGTGCTTTTCTTTGTTAACTGAGTTTAAATTACTCCCTTTTGTTGTCTAGGATATATATGGCCATCAAGGGAAAATGGTGTATATTATTTTTCTTTCATCTTCTAGGCCATAGTTAAATTGTTGGAGGTCAGAAAATATTTTTTAAATGATTAAAAGCCATACGAATTATTCCTGCCCAACTTGACGGATTTTGCGTTTGTTATTCCATCAGGTTGCTTTATTGTCTCGAGAGAATTTGACTGTTTGACTGAGGGGGTATCCTACCACCTGTCATCACCAATGCTGATGCAATTCTGACCTTTTACCATCTGTACCTTCTCCGGGATTGTTTTGCAGCAAGATAAATGTTGAAATTAATACTCGGATAGCACTTTCTGACCAGTACTTATAGAGAATTTAAAAAACATATAAAGCTATAAGGAAAGAACTTATTTACAGACATTCTGCCATCCACATATGGCTGCTGTTGACACTTCCCTGTTTCTTTCCAATTGCTTTTTGGCATGAGCACGTTTATGCATCGTGCCTGTCATGTAAAAGGTGCTTTATAACTATATGAATAAATGTATGTTTTAATATATGTAATAATTTGCCTATACGCTTTTGTTCTTATTTTATTTGTAATTGATGAATAATAATTGTGTATGTTTACAGAGGGCATGTGATGTTTTGATACATATTTATGTTGTGGAATGATTAGATCAAGGGGAACATATTTATTGCCTCACACACTTACCATTTTTTTATGGGTGAGAACATTTGAAATCTGTTCTTGCAGAAATTTAGAAATATAAAATACTTTATTAACTACCTTTACCATACAGTGCAATAGCTCTAAGACATATTCCTCAGTCTAACTGAAATTTTGCACCCTTTGAAATAGCATCTCCCCCTTGTTCGTTCCTTACTTGCCAGCCCCTGCTGACTACCTCACTAAGTTCTACTTCTGTGAGTTTGACTTTTTTATATTCTGCATATGTGAGACCGTGCTGTATTTGTTTTTCTGTGCCTGGCTTATTTCACTTAGCATAAATAAGGACACAAAACTATACATATTTAGTATATGTACCACACACACACACATATGACCTAAAAATACACAGTTTTGTGTAGTAGACTGAAAACCATGCTTATAGGAACAGTCACTGGTTCTTGAGGGAAGCGCTGGGAGCGGGACAATCTCCTGGCTGGCATGAAGATGTTTTGCAGGCTGGAGACAAGCCCTCAAGCAAGTAGGTGCTGTAATGAGATAAGATCAGTCACTCCTTAGCAAGCAGGTGTTGGACTTTGAACATTTGTAGTGCAGCAGGGTGGGAGTTGAGCCCACAGGAAAGAGCATGTAGGGATGCTTAAGCATGTCATCTTTGTATGTGGGGCTCCCCCACATCTGTTGTATAGCCTTTCAATAAATAGCTGCTGCGGAGGTAGCTGGGGGTTTCTGCAGCCATGAAGGAGGTTACCTGGTGGCTCGGCTCTCCTGCACCTCTGGGGACTCCACCTCTTGTAAGCTTGTACATTCATTGGCCTGCATATCAGTTGTTTCATGTGTGTGGTGCTGGCGTGGCCACAGTGGCACTGACAGTTTTGTGTCTAGTAGTTTTTTACTTAGGCCAGAAAGAATTATCAAGATATTTTATTAATTGTGTACAAAATAAAAAATATAGTTTTCAGTACTCTCATGTATGTATGTATCATAGTTTATTTAACTTCTCTCCCATATTCATACTACCTTGTTGTTGTGATGTGATGCATTACTCTTACCATCAACTTATATGTTTGCTTGATTATCTCAGTCTTTAATCCTAGGGGAAGATTTACTATGGAGTAGACTGTAAACTGGAAACAATTTTTAATCCTTTGTGCCATATTTTTAATACTTAAAATGATATTTTTATTGAATTACAAAGATATAGAACTTGATTAAATTAAAAAGCTTCTGCACAGCAAAGGAAGGGATCAGTAGTGCAAATAGACAACCCACAGAATGGGAGAAAATATTCACAGACTCTATCTGATAAAGAACTAGTATCCAGAATACAGAACATAGGATAAAGAACTCAAACAAACCAGCAAGCAATAAACAAGGCTGTTAAAATGTGGGCAAAAGACTTGAATAGAAGTTTTTCAAAAGAAGATAGATAAATGGCCAACAAACATGAAAAAATGTTCAACATCACTAATCATCCAGGAAATGCAAATTAAAACCACAGTAAGATGTCTTCATAAGCTAGTTAGAATGGATTTTATGAAAAAGTTCAAAACAACAGATATTGGAGTGGATGTAGAGAGAAAAGAACACTTATAAACTGTTGGTAGGACTGCAAATTGGTATAACCTCTGTGGAAAACAGTATGGAGATTCCTCAAAGACCTAAAAAGGATACCTACCATTTTAGACAGGAATCCTACTGCTGGGTATCTACTCAAATGTCATGTTATCAAAAAAGACATTTGCACTTAAATGTTTATTGCAGCACAATCCACACTGGGAAGATGTGGAATCAACCTAATTGCCCCAAAATTCATGAATAGATTAACAAAATGTAGCATGTATATGTAATGGAATACTACTCAGCCATAAAATGAAATGTATTAATGTCTTTTGCAGCAATCTGGATGGAAGTGGAAACTATTCTCCTAAGTGAATATCTCAAGTTAAATATCTCAAGAATGGAAAACCAAACACCATATGTACTCTCTGATAATTTGTAACTAATTGATAGGCACCTATGGGTACAGAAAGAAGTAAAAATCATTAAGAATCAAGAAGGGGGATGGTAAAAACCTACTTAACAAGTACAACAAACACCATGCAGGTGATGGGACACTTACAGCCCCAACTAAGGCATTACAAAGCTGTTCATGTAACAAAAATGTTTGTACTCCCTTAATATATTGATATTTAAAAAAGAATTAGAAAAAAGGTTAACCCTTCACTTAGAAAAATTTAAAAGCAGAAAAATGAGAATAGGGAAAAATTATTTATAATCCTGGCACTTAAAGAGGACTTCATTTAAGGTTTCGAATTAGATAATATTAGTCTTTTTAATCCATTACATATTTATCAAAAAGGATCAATTTCTTTTCTAAACTGCTTTTTTCTGTCCACTTAGTAGTTTATTATGAACATAGTCCTTCTCTCCATTAGACAGTCTGCCATCATGTCATTTTACTGCCTATTATGAAAATGACTTGTCTCTACAATGCATCTGATTAGCTCCCCATTGGTAAACCTTTAGTTTGTTTCCAGTGTTTCATGATTATTCAGAGTTGTAGGGAAAAAAATCTCCTGTGTTTTGCCCCTTGGGCACATCTACTATGATTGCATTAGGTTGGATTTCTGGAAAGAGAGTTGTTGATTCAAATTGTAGGAATGATTTTTAAGGCATTTGCCAAATATGGCCACATTGCCTTTAGACAGGTTATACAATTGATGAGCACATCTAAAAGAGGTATGAAATTAATGAAGTTAACCAAATTACTTGCCAGAAAACCTGTTCCTGTTGCTCCTCTTTGAGAGGAGCAAGAGGGCACTTATTTTCAGTGATCATAAGGTATCTCTGTTAGGGTGGGATGTATTCATAAGTCTGTTTCAAAACAGGAAAAGCTGATTAGGGAGTGAGTAGATGATTTTACAAAATGTTCACAAAAAGTAAAGATAGAAGGCTCTTACTAGTTGCTGGGTCGTCTTCTTACCAGTTTAATTAATGAGCCTGCTTCTTGACTTTATCTTCAATTAAATTTTATTGTTTTTCTGTAATTAATTGTTTCAAGAAAAGTCATTGTGTTTTCTCTTCTGCTCTCTTCAGCAGCTACCCAGGAAGCGTGGTCTTGGGAGCGGTACTTGAGAGAACAGAAAGCCGTCGCAGCCCCCGTTGAATTGTTTTCTAAGGTCAGTCACCAAACATCTATTTTTGCAAGGAATCAACATTAAGAGATTTAATTTAAGTTGCCCACACAGCTCACCAGCTTACCTGAATTTGTAGGATCTGCTGACAGACAATCCAACCAAGGGCATCAGATCCTTAGTGTTCTAGAGTGTGGGCTGGAGCCCAGCATGGCCACATGCCAGCTCTGTGACCTTAGGAAACTCATTAAACCTTGGTTTCCTCATCTGTAGTGTAGGAGAAGTATCCTCCCTACCTGTCTGGGTTGTTGGAGAACTAAATCAGCTGTACCCATAAGGGCATAGGCCATAATAGGGGGTGTTAGGTTTTGTTGTTATCTGATAATCCTCTTTCTATTCTTCTGTTCTGAGTTCTCAGTGTTTCAGGGGAATTTAGGTGAAAAATTCTACTGGACTTGCATTACTTTGCATTTTAACCTGCAGCAGGAAGCTGAAGCTTTTTATTTGTCTTACTTTTCATGACATCTGTTGAGTTAGATCTAGTGTTTATCACTGTGAAAGGACCAGTATTTGTAATTCTGGACATGACAATGGACTGGAGGAGGAGAGGTGTAGCATAGAGGAAAAGGAAGGGAAACCATGGATCAGGGCCTCCTGTTCAAGAATATGCTTCTGCTGCCTGGGTAATAGGCTTCACTAATAGGGTGAAGGTCATGTCATGGAAATTGGAAACGTCCAGAGCAGTGGCTCTTAACAGTCTTCACATTAGAAGCTTCTGTGGAGCTCTGGAAAGCACAGAACATGGGTCTCCCTGAGACTTGCTAGATCAGAGCCTCAGGCGCTGGGGCCCGGAGCTGTGTATTTGGAGAACCTTTGCAGGGCGTGCTATGCAGGTCCGTGGCCCACTGCCAGTGGTTCCTGTGCAGTTTCTGCCTAGGCGTCCGTTCCCTGCTGCCCCACATTGCTGCTGACTGACAAGACTTAGGGAGTTTGTTCCACTCACAGCCTGTAGGGCATGAGGTGTCCCCCCTTCCGCCTTTTTCCTCCTTTCCTTTCATGTCCCCTCACAGTGCCCGCTGTGCCGAGCATGCTCGGATCATCAGGCCGTGCTGAGTGGCTCCTGGAAGCCTCTTCTTACTTCGGAGTATAGGTTTTTAAAGGCGTTTGGCTTGGACCAGCTCTGTCCGGTGTCACGGCTTCCTTTCCCTCTCCGCGTGCCCATTCCATGTCCTGGCCGTGGGGTCACTGTGGGCCTGGAGGGTGGAGCAGGAGCTGCTTGAGGCCTGTCAGGGACCGCAACACCTGAGGGCAGATGTGATCTGGTTAGGGTTCTACCAAAGCACACGGGCGAGGTTTGTGACCCCTTGGCTGTGCCTTGGGAATCAGACCTGTGCGGTGTCCACAGATCAGGGTCTCTTACCTCCATCCAGGATTAGGTCAGCTGTGTGGCTGGCCTGCATCTCAGCTGGTCGGCGCATCAACATCATTGTCAGTTTCTCCTTTATGATCCTGTAAGGGCCGTCAGCCAGGGCAGGGGCACTTGCAGAATTGAAAGTTTCTCCTTCAGACTTTCCTTCGTGTCCTGGTATCAACTACACAGATGACCTAGGGGCAGATGTGGGACCTCTGTTCCTGAGTGGATCTGCCTGGTGGTGCTGGGAGCTTCACAGTGGCAGAATGTGGGTCATGTAGCTTCACCCAGGATGGCAGAAGAGGGTCCGGGAGGTACTGAGAGGAAGAGTGTTGGTGGTGGTCTTCTGTGGTGGGGGTTTGCGGGGGTGCATGGGGTGCAGGGGCACTGCTGGGTGGTTTATTGGCTGATAACATAACTTTAAAGTGGTAATTCCTCAAGTTTTTAAACTTTAATATTCATCATCTCTGAAGGTGACAGCAAAGCATTAGTGCAATGTTTTTCAACCTTTTATTTTTTAATCTCACAGCACACTTGAACCTATAGTTAAACTTAATTTAAAGAAAGAATTAAAAAAGAATATACTTGCTGTGCTTTGAACTTCTTTAGAAATTAATTTAATGAATGATCTTTAAACATTTTTATGGCACAACTAAGATCCTCTTGCAGCACAGCGGTTGAAAATCACTGCGTTAGTGGGTAAGAAATGGGCACGTTTGGCTTGTTGGCCTTTCTCTACACCCAGGATCTAACAGCTAAGCGACTGTTATCTTCATGGTTCTGTGTGCGCAGAGGGCTGCGTAGGACTCCCTGAAATGCCAAGGAGGGTACGACACGGTGCCTTGGGATGTTGCCTGCTAGTTGGGAGATATGCCCCTAATAACACAGTAGCAATGTGAGGTAGGACATACAAGTAATGAAGTTTTTAGGCATCCCATGTGTGAGATGAGACCCTGTCTGACCCCTAAATGAGAATTAGGTTCACCAGTTACCATGTCTGACTTGTCCCCGTGACCGAAGAAGATGCTTGTGTTTAAGATACAGTATTACTTTTCAGTTGATACTTGTATTTTAGGATGAAATAAACATTGTTTATAATTGAAAATAGGTTTTATGATGTAATCAAAAGGCAGATGGTTCATGTCACCCTTCCAAGAGCAGCATCGGACAGAACTCTGAGCGTCAGTTCTGTATTGACGTTGGGCTCTTGACTGTGACTGTTCACTCTCCTCGTCTACATGCTGTAGTAATGTTGCTGGATCAGCCAGCTGAGATGGGATGCTTCAGCCTTGACGCTGAAATGTTAAGAATAGAAGTTAAAATAGTTTGCAGATTTTGAGTGGTAAACTATTTCAAAGATATGAAAGCATTACTTTACATTTAATATGTAGTTTTTATAGTTTTTATCCTAACATTCAGATTTTAGAAGCTGTATCAAAGCCACACACTCGATTCCATCGTGTAAATGAGATATGTGTTTTACCAAGAAAGTTTGTGTGTGTGTGTGTGTATATAATTTTTTTTTAGGAGAGTATGCCTTTTTCATTTGCACACAGGTTTGTGAATACCTATAGGTCTATTTTAAACTTCTTTCTGTGTAAGACAAAGTAAAGTGTTTTATCTTGTATAATTTATTTTACCATCTGGGGTAACGAGTATACAAGGATGTAAACACCTTCTGTTGACATTGTAAATTTAAAAACATCTTTTCCTCATTATCGGTGAAATGTGCCTACCTTGATTTGATTTAAAATTCAAGGTATTGTTTTCTTGTTTGTTTTGAGGTTGGTCTGGAAAGCTCTTCTCTCTCACTTCTCCCCGCCAGCCCGCTCGTGGGCACAGGCGCTTCCCTGGAGCGCCCGTTCTCCCTTTTGCTCATCACATCAAGCCCACCTGTGTCTGCTTGGAAGTGACACCACTGCAGTCTCGCCCCGGCTGCAGATGTGTCTGGAAACAGAGTGGTCAGGCTGGTCCACGTGCTGGCTCCGGCCTCATTGCTCAGTTCTTACCCACATTTGAAGGCCTTTGTGCTCCCTTTTGCACCATGAACCTCCTGGGTCCATGTTCCTCCTCCTCCCTTTGCAGGAAGCTGTCTCTGCCTGTTCACTGTGGTCCACTGCCCTGTCCTTACTGTGCAGCTGCCACCTGCCCGCCTGACGTTGGCGGAGTGAGGAGCAGGACAGCAGCGACAGAGAGACCAGTGCCAGCTCCTATGTTACCTGGCCAGAGCAGTGCCCAGATCGCCACCTGCACCAGCCAGCACTCTGCCAGTGGGTGGCACCTACAGTGTCAGCTGGCCCCACTTTTGACCCCCAGACTGGTGTTTTTCTCTCCCAGCCCGCATAGGGGTGCCAGGAAGACAGACTGGACATGGGCAGGGACTCAACCACATTTTAAAATACTTTGCTGTTTCAGAACAAAATGAAAGTCATCACGAGAAAAGTTAAAACTCTTTGGAACTTTGTATACAGAGGGTGCCAAAAAATGTATACACGTTTTTTAAAAAGACAGAAACCATATTTAATTTGTAACAATATATACTGATAATTGCAGAGGTCAAGGGTGACTTTTCGAATATTACAATTTTGACTTCTGCTTAAAAGAGGTATTCAAAAATGACTTGGATTCATCTTTTGTTATCAGTATATATTATTACACTTTTTTCCTTTCTTAAAATGTGTATGTATTTTTGGCACCCTCTGTCTACTCTCATAGCTTGGTAATATAGTCTTAATTTGAATTCCATATACTTTATTACTGTGTTAATTTCCTATTGCTGCTGTAACAAATCGTTACCAATTCAGTGGCTTAGTAGCTTAAAACAATACAAATTTATTATCTGTAAATTCAAAAGGTTAGATATTGGCAGTGAGCTGGTGAGGCCACATCCTCTCTCCGTGTCCCTTCTCCTTGGAAGAGTCTCCTTGTCGGTCTCCTCTCTGGCCCTCGGCCTCCCTCTTACAGGAGGACCCTGGGATGACATTGGGGTTCCCCAGACAATCCAGGACAGTCCCCATCTCAGGATACTTCACTTAGCCATACCTGTAAGGTCCTATTTGCCACAGAAATAACATAGCGACAGCTCGGGGATCAGGCTGGAGGTGTAACTTTGGGGTCTAAACACAGACACCATCTTCTTTTCTTTGCTGTCCCTGCTTGTCCTGCCCCTGGCCTGAGTGACTTGCTGTGGATTGGCCCCCTGTCCAGTTGTCCTCTGGTGCCACACCTATTGTAAACCTGATAATGCAGCTTCTCAGGCACTCTGCTCCTTCCCTCGGACAGACAGGTCCCCTCTGCTCTACCCCTCCAAGCCCAGCCCTCCCTTCCTGGGGATTACAGCATCTCATGGCCACTGTTGCTGCCTGTCACCTCACTAGAGAGTGTGGGCATCTCTGCTCACACCACTCCCCCTGCCTCACTAGAGACTGTGCATCTCTCTGCTCACACCACTCATCCCCCCTCACTAGAGAGTGTGTATGTCTCTGCTCACACAACTCACTAGAGACTGTGCATGTCTCTATTCACACCACTCACCCCCGCCTCACTAGAGAGGGTGGTGTGTGTGTCTCTGCTCACACCACTCATTCCC